GCTGGGAAGCTTCAAAGCACAAGAGGGCTTAGTGCAGGATAGTTCCCAAAAGACCCGGGTGCTGTTTCCATGGTAATGGGCAGTGGCCATTAGAGGAGGGACTATCTATCACCTTCAGAATGGAGAGTCCAGAAGGCTGCAACTAAAGCTTGAAGGATGAGTTGATGAGTTTAAGGGCAACCTCCTCGCACAGGGACGCAAAGCCCTCTGGGAACACATGCGCGTATCTGCCAAGCAGGTGTGGAGAGGATGGGACTTCACAGGGTGGAGTCCAGGCTTTGTGTGATGCCTATTGTGTTTCACTTGTGTCCCGGGTGTGGTTGTCAACAGGCCAAGGCTGTCCCCCAAGTGGAGGGCAGAAGGGACGGAAGCTTCTTTTAGAAACCCAGATCTGCGCCTGGCCTGCTCCTCCCACTCTCCCGTGTCCGGCTCAAATGTCCCGCCTTAGCACAGTCTCCTCTGATTACCCCTGCACCTTTCCTGGCGGCACACAGCCCCTTTGCATTCTTTACATTTACCCTTAGCTGAGAGGGCCCGCTTGTTTTCGTGTAATTAGGCAGCAGGAAGGCAGGGGCCGCCTGGCTTCTTCTTCCTTGCTGTCTAGTGACTAGTACCGAGCCTGCGGACATGCTGAATAAATGAGTCAACAAAAAATAAAGAAGCCCGCGGTGCTGGGAATGGAGAGAGAAGACAGGTCCGAATCATATTAAGGAGAGAAAACGGGAGATTTAGGGGTAGGAGAGGACTGGGGCCCGGAGAAACATAGAGGAGGGAGGAGGTTTTTGGAAGGACGTTAAGGAGTCTGGTTTTTAACGGTCAGATAATGGGATGAGCAGGCAACGTGGGTCTCACGCAGAACTCAACCTTCATTTCATAACTGCGTTCCGGAGAAAAGTTTAATTTCTTCCTAGTGAGAGACGTTATTAAGAAATGTTACCATGAAGTTGCCAAGAAAAATATTTTGAGTAGGGTTGAATTTTGGTGAGTCAAAATTTACTGTGGTCACTAAGAGTCACGCAGAAGACACATGTCTTCCTTGAGCCATCATGGTCAAGTGCTTAGGGGAGACACTGGGTGTCTGGTACACACCTGTGAGCCCAGGTCTCTGGAAGCTGAGGCAGGAGGATGGCGAGTTTGGGGCCAAGGAAGAGGGGTACACAGGAAGACCCTGTTTCAAAACGAAACAAATGAACAAACACCCACCTTCGATAAACAAACAGAGCTTTGGGGAGAGCGCTGACCTGGGGGATCTTCACTTTCCTTTCCACTCCTGTCTTTTCTATTTTATTTTATTTTTTTTCTTTTCCTTCATTTCTCCTCAACTAGTCCATATTACAAAAATCCATCCGATCAGTTTTATCAGGGCACAAAACAGGAGCGTGATAGGAAGTTTATTTCCCTTTTAGGAAATAATTCCTTTTTAGGAGAAGAGCATGATGGGAAGTTGTTTCCTACACACAGAAAAGGAGCATGATGGGAAGTTTGTTTCCTACGTAGAGAAGAGGAGCATGATGGGAAGTTTTTTTCCTACTTAGAGAAGAGGAGCATGATGGGAAGTTTGTTCCTGTCCCTGGAGGAGGGGCCTGATAGGTGGGAAGCTTGCTTTCTGACCTGAGGCATCTCCCGGAGAGCACATGCTTACAGACCATTTCCGTGGTGGTGTCTGGTGCTGATGTGGAGTCCCATCTCAGGGCCCAGTGCAGAGCAGGCTCTGCTTCCCTTCCCTTCTCCTCCTACCCCTCCCCTGTCTCTCTCCAGGTCCCGCTTCCTAACTTCGGTCCCTGCTTCCCGCTGTGTGCGCTTCGTGATCAGCTTGGGGAAGAAACACTTGGAAACATTGGTTTTAGATTCCCACAAAAGGAACTTGGTCCTCAGGAAGGTGCAGAGGTGCCTGGTGAGGGAATGTCCTGGCCGACACTTTCATTGGCTTGTGTGTCATCTCGGGGAGCTGTGGAGGGGATCTGGATGGGACCTTGAGCCAGCAGTGATGTCTGGAAATCTGACTTATGAATCTCGACCTAGCCCTGATGTTATTATTTGGAATGATGTTGGCTGTTGGCTGGAGACTTCCATCTTGGGGAGAGATTACTGGGTGGCTACTATGGAGGACCTGGTGCTGGTCAAGCCTTACCAGCAATGGGGAACATGGCTTTAGCAAACCACTTCCTCCCTCAAACTTCAGTATGCTCATGTATAAGGTAACTATTCCCAAGTTCATGGCCAGTGCGCTGCTCTTGAATGCCAGGGAGCCCGGATATTTCTTTCTCATTACAGAGAATAAACAGGTAGTACTTACCTCCAACAGTTCCCATGAGGATGGAATGGGGTAAGAACTATAACACTTTGAACAGTGCCTGACACACAGGCAATAGCCTCTATTTACTTGATACCCATGTTCTGCCAAGCTGGGGGTTCCCAGACATCAAAGGCTGCCTCCCTGTGAGAGTATCAGACCGTCCTCCATCTTCGATGGTCTATGGCTAGGGAGGTGATTCTGATCCAAGAAGCTTCAAGGACGTTGGGGATGAGGAGTGTTTCCAAGGGCTCATGACCCTGAGCCCTGCTGGGGCTCCTACCAACTCTGCTTCTTGGCTTCAGGATGGTTCCATTGCTGATGAATACACAGTGGATGCTGTGGGAAACCTACTGTGCCATTTACCAGCCACCTTCATTGAGAGAGGGATCTCTCCCAAGGCCTGGGCTACTGCTCTGCATGGCTTCAAAGGCTGCACAGACCTCAGCCCTGAGCAGAAGGCTGCTGTGAAGCTCAGGCTCCAGGAGCAGTGTGGGTGAGAGGAGCTGCTGGGCTGTGGGAGTGTGGCCCCTGGGTGAGGGGCTGCCAGGCTGTGGGGGTGTGTGCCCTGGGTGTGAGGGGGGCTGCTGGGCTGTGGGGGTGTGGTGCCCTGGGTGAAAGGGGCCCAGCTTTGCCGCTCCCCATTCTTGATAAAGAGGACCACCAGCTTAGGATGAGGTCTGGTGCCACACTTACTCTGGGAATGTGACCTTTCTTATTTGGGCTTCAGATTCCTTATCAAATGGAAACAGTTGTAGTTGCCTTCCGTGGTCATCTTGTTGTATAGAAGGGGAAGAGGTTTTAAAGATGGCACTTTAGGGACTTGGGAGATAGTTCAGTGGTATGGTGCTCACTGCACAAGCACTTGAGTTAAATCCCAGGACTCCAGTGAAAAGGCTGGATGCGGTGGCATATGCCTGTAATTCCAGTGCTGGGGAAGTAGGGTTTGCTGGTCATCTAACTTAGCCTTGTCCAGCAGCAGTCCAGTGAGTGACTGTCTCAAAAAGTAAGAAATGGATGATTCCTGAGGTTGTCCTGTGACCACCACACACACGTACACTCATGTGACACAAGAGAGAAATGCACTTTAAATACAAGGTGTTGGTATCGATATTACTTTGGAGCCCAGTGCTTTTGAGCTACATCTCCAGCCCTTGGTTTTTGACATAAGCTCTATGTAGTTCCAGCTGGCCTTGAGTTATGTAGCCCAGACTGGTTTTGAACTCGTGATTCCCTCCTGCATATCTCCTGAGTGCCAGGATTGTAGGCATGTACCACCATACCTGGCAAGAGTAGTTTTTGGTTCATAGTAAAATTGAGAGGAAGGTGGAGAGAGACTCCCTAGATACATAGCTTCCCCACCTCATCATTCTCCACCAAAGTTGTGTATTCGTTCTAATTGATGAACCACATCGACATCATTGTTGCCATTAACACCCAAAGTCCAGAGATTCCTTGAGCACCCACTATTGGTATGCATTCTTTAGGTTTGGATAAATGTATGATGACATATGTTATCCATTAAAATATCATACTGAGGCTGGTGAGATGCAGTGGGTAAAAGCACTTGCTGCTAAGACTGACCACCTGAGTTTGATCTCCAGCACTTACATGCTGGAGGGAACTAATGGATTTCCACAAGTTGTCCTTTGACCTCCACGTGTGTGCCATGGCATGTGCTCTCCCCTCAAAATATTAAAAAAAGAAAAACAGAATCATACTGCGTGTTTTCCCTACTCTAGCAGCCACTGCTTTGCCTAGTCCCTGCCTGCCTCCTCTATGGTCACCAATGGATAGCTTTGTTTTCTCCAAAGGTCTTGTGGTGGGAAGCATGCGGTATTTAGCCTTTTCAAGTTGATTTCTTTCACCTCTTAATAGGTATTTAAGTTTTCTCCCTGTCTTTTCATGGATTGATGGTTCATTTCATTAGCACCGAATAATGGCCCATCCTCTGGCAGCTCAGTTGCTTCCAAGTTTTGGCCATTACAAATAAAACTGCTGTAAACATATGTATGCAGACTTTTTAGGGATGTACTTTTCCAAGCCCTTTGGGTAAACACTGAAGTGTACAGTTGCTGGGTTGTATGGTAAGGATGTATTTAGTTTTGTAAGAAACCATCAAACTGTCTTCCAAAGAGGTGCATTGTTTTGCACTCCTACCATGGTTAAGTGAGAATTCCTGTTTCTTCATAGTATTATTTTTGTTAAGATATTGATGATGAGCCAATGAGATGGCTCAGTGAGTAAAGGTGCTTACCATGCCTTGGCGTATGCCTCCCATAAGTAGGAAAATAAGTAATTAAATAATTATAATAAAAGATAAAAAGATAATGAAGATGATGATGGTGGTGATGATGGTGGTGAGGATGATGGTGAGGATGGTGGTGGTGATGGTGGTGATGGTGGTAGAAGCACCTTCTGGGTAGTGAGAGCTCCCTGGATCAAAGCAGAACTGTCCTGTCCAATGTAGAATGTCCAGAGGGATGGTCAGTTATTTAGAAGGAAGTAGCCACCAGTCAGTGCTGAGATAATAGTTTTTTTTAAATTCATTTTTATTTTTAACTATGTATACATGTATATGTGTGTCTGTGTGTGGGTATGTCTATGTAAGTGCAAATGCTGGAGGCGCCCAGAAGAGGGCATCAGATCCCCTGGGGCTAGAGTTAAAGGCTATTATGAGCCACCACCCTATGTGAGTGCTGGGAACCAAACTCTGGTCCTCTGTAAGAATAGCAAGTCCTCTTAACTGCAGAGCCGCATCTTCAGTCCTGTTTCTTTTCTTTTTGAGACAAGGTATTGCTATATGGTTCCAGGTCAGGCTTGCCCAGAACTAACTCACTAAGTAGCCCAGGCTGACCTTAAACTCATAATTTTTAGCCTCAGTTTCCTGAGGACTGGGAAAAAATATTTTGAAGGTAATCATTGTGCCATAGGCGTATTACTATTATATAGCGTTATCAGCATGAATTCAGGAGCCAGACTCTTCATTAAATTTTTGTTTCTATTATTTTATGTTTATATTGTCTGGGAAAAGTTGCTTAATTGTTCTCCATTGTTAATACTTACATATGTAGAGTGGGGCCAAACACAGTTAAAATGAGTGAATACAAAGAACTTGTAGTACCTGGCACATATGTACTGAGGATGTAACAGTTGTTTATCAGCAGGACTGAAGATATAGTGGTCATTAAATAGGTGTGTTTCCTGCTTCATGGAACATATGGTCTAATGGGATAATGTTTTTGTTAAAGAGATAGGAAGCCAGGCATGGTGGTGCTCTCCAGTAGGTCCAGTACTTGGGAACTTAAAACAGGGAGATGTTCCAAGACCAGCCTGGGCTACATAGTGAGATATCAAAAGCAAATGGACATTTTGAGCCATCAAAAGCAAACAATCAGAGCCAAGAATGGTGGGACATGCCTTTAATCCCAGCACTTGGGAAGCAGAGGCAGGTGGATCTCTGTGAGATCCAAACAACAACAGAACAGCAAACAGACAAATTAACAGAGGTGCTGAGATGCAAGGTGACAGCCTCCACTGCATGCCTTTTAACTTTCCTGCTTGTATCTCTTCTTAGACCACCTCAGAACTGGACAGCAGAGGTGATGAAGGACTTGGGACCTTTCTTAGGACTTTTCTCAGGAGATGAATTACACATGATCGCCACAAAGGTATCTCTGTGCCCCGTATTAAGAAGGCTTTAAGGAGTCTGAAATGGAGGGAAAGTGTGGTTAGTTATAACCTACTATGTTTGCTCAACAGCCTGTGGTTCTAGAAACTTCCACCGTGCTTCAAAGTGCTCAGGTATTTCTGGCTTCATCTCAAGCTGTCCAAGGGTCAAGAAAAAGGACTGGGGTGAGAGCTAAATGAACTCTCTAGGCCTTTCTGTGGCCCTTCACACAGATGTGGTCAGTTGAGGACCCGTCATTTAGCTAGCACCCTGTCAACTGTGTGCACCTCACGTGCATACCCATTGCAGGTCTTATACCCAAAAATGGGCAGTCACATGTGCAAAGAATGAATATGTAATCAAAGAATGAATCTTTACTGAGTGTGGACTTTAGACTCAATGTGAGTTAGACTAGGTCAAGCAACATGCAAAATAAGCATGGCTCTGTCACCTTCTTCTAATAACTTTATTAGTGACTTTTGCATAACTGAAAAGCATACTTGGCAGAACAACTTATAGGGAGAAATTAATTGTTTGGGCTCACAGTTTCAGAGGGTTTAGTCCATGGTCACTTGGCCCTAGTTGCTTGGGCTGAATGTGATGGTGGCAGAGTGTGATAGAGGCTGCTCTTCATGCCTGACAGACAGGAAACAGGGAAAGGAATGCTAGACGAGGCCATGGGAGGATTTAGCCTTCAAGGATACCCTTCCCCTAGAAACTTACTTCCTCCAACAAGGCCCCCATCTCTTACCTTTACACCACCTAATAATAATATTGTGATATTATCAGTCCATCAGGTGAGTAATTCATTAAGACTGAGCCCTCACCATCTAATCACCTGGGGAAATATCCTCACAGACACAGAATGGAGCTTCACAAAACTCCTAGATAGTTCTTAGTCCAATCAAGGAGACAATCAAGATGAATCATCCCAGTGACAGAGACACACAAACTCACTGGCAAA